AAATATTTTCTATGTATTATGTAATTATTACTACCTAGATATTTAACTTTTAATGTGTATATAGTGCGACAGCTAAGTTAGACCTTGTATTTTGAAATAATTCATTACCTATACGTTATAGTTTGTAATATAGAGTTTGTAAATAAATATATTATGCATAATCATTTTGTTTATTAATTTTTTTTGTCATTACCTAAAATAAATAAATAAAAAGCTACATATTTTTTGTAAATATTTTTACATATAATAAACTTGAGAACTATATTTAGGTGTCACACTTTATATAAATTGAGAACCACATTTAAATGTAACAGTTTCACTAGCCTAAATGAACTCATCTCAAATAAAATTATATCTCGTAGACATATTTGTGATTTAGAAAAAAAAATCACTTTATGTTATGTAGTAATTATTTTTTCTTTTTCAAATATTTTATAAAATAAAGTAATTTTTTTATCATGTATTAAATTATTATATTGTATTTATGTTTCATAAAGTAAAATTTTATTTAATATTTATATACAATATTTAAAAATTAAGTTATAGCATAAAAGATTTACCACTACGGTAACAAAGAGTACTTGATAAGAGAATTATTTTAAATTAATTTAATTTTTTTAATTAGGAATATCATATTGTTATATTTAGTAAGAATTTTTTTAAAAATTAACATTCTATGAAATATTTTTAACCATATTTTTTAATAAAATATTATCATAGTAAGGAGTGAAAAGAAATTTTATAATCTTTCTAAAATTTTCTTAAACTCATGTATTTAAGTTTATTTAACTTGAAAAGTTTATATTAACTTTTTTTTTTCTTCTTTTTCCTTTCTTTATTTCTTTAACTCCTTTTTTTTTCTTCTCTTTCTAAATTCTTAAACAAAGACCTACTAGATAAAATAATAAAATAGTCTTCTAAACATTACATTAAGATAACTCTTCTTTCATAAAGTTGTAGTTATTATGGACCAGGAGGAAATTTACTGGTTTTATCAGTATAAGTCTAGCTTGATTAATTTGGAAGATTGAAATAACTTGTTCTTTCATAAAGCTGTAATTATTTGCAGGCGACATAAAAGATGAGGGCCTAATGGATGAGAATAATAATATATGATCCTTTTTCTTTCTAAAACCTTGCTGTGAACTATTTCAAAAAATTATATTTTGACCTTTGGCTCTCTAGGAGTCCCCTTGTCACTGACTCTAGCTTTCCTCCTCTTAAGGATTTTGACAGGCTTGTTATTAATTCTGATCTTTTCATAGAGGAAGTTAAAAGCCTCCTTGTTTAGCATTGGGAATTGCAAGTCCCTAGGACCTGATGATTTTCATTCCTTATTTTTCAAAAGTCAAGGAGATTTGTTAGGCCCTCATATTTTTAAGTTAGTTTCTGTCATTTTTAATAACCCAAAAGAGGTGGCTGTTATTAATGATACTATCATTACTCTTATCCTAAAGTTGATCACTCTGAGCATATTAAGCAATTTAGACCTATATCCCTCTGCAATATGAGCTACAAAATTGTTATTAAAATTTTAGCTAATAGGATTAAGGGGTCCCTATCTCACATTATCTCTGTCAATCAAACCAGTTTCATTCCTGGTAAGTAGGGTATAAATAACATCCTTATTTTTCAAGAACTCATTCATTCTTTTGATAAGTTTAAAAATAAGTCCGGGTACATGATTGTTAAGCTCGATTTGAAAAAAGCTTATGATAAAATAAGATGAAATTTCATTTATGAAACTCTTCAATTAATTTGTTTTAATCCAAAGTTTTCTGATCTTATAGTTCAATGTATTTCAATATCTTCTGTGACTATTAATTGGAATAACAATAGGACTGAGAGTTTTAACCCTTCCAAGGGTATTAGATAAGGGAACCCTATATCTCCTTACATTTTTGTTATGTGCATCGAAAGACTGTCACACTTAATCTAGGATCATGTTAATAATAGTAATTGGGTCCCTTTCTCTTTTAATAATGTTGGGCCTAAAATTTCTCTTCTCTTTTTTGTGAATGATATTGTTCTAGTTGCTAAAGTTGACCTGCATAATGCTAAGACTATAAAATCCATCTTGAATGAGTTTGGCCATGCCTCTGCCCTCTTTGTAAATAAAGAAAAATCTTCCATTTATTTTTCCAAAATTGTGATCATGTAGTTAAACAAGATACATAAGTCACCCTTGGAATTAAGAACTCTCCTCACTTTGGCAAATACTTAGGTGTCCCCATAAGTCATTTTAAACCTTTTAGGAAAGAGTTTGTTTTTATAATTAATAAAATAAAAAAGAAGCTATCAACTTAAAAAATGAATTCCTTATCCTTTGCTGGTAGAATCACCCTTGGCCAAGCTTGTATTATGAATATTCCAAATTATTTTATGCAAACCATGGTTATACCTAAAGCTGTTTGTAATGAAATTGATACTATTTGCAAGAGGTTTATTTAGAGTTCGTTAAATAATAGAAAATGTCATCTTATAGGATAGGATAAGATTTGTAAACCAAAAACTGAGGAAGGTTTAAGATTCAGAGATATTAGTCTGGTTAATCAAACTTTTATTATGAAGCTTTGTTGGAGATTGATCACTTCTCCTAATGAGTTATGGGTCAAAGTCTTGTATGTTAAGTGTAGATTTTCTATAGGGAAAGATCCTAGGTTGAACTCTAGTCATAATACCTCTTGTTTATGGAAGAATATAGCCTCTATTTAGAAGTATTTCGACACTGGTCTGGGATGGTCTCTAGGGGATGGTTTAACAGCCAAGTTTTGGAGGGATAGTTGGGCCATGATGCTCCAGTTTTGTCCAACTATGTCACTCGTTCTATTCCTGAAGAAGAGTTAAACGACCTTGTCATTCTTTTCACTCATCAGGGAAATAGAGATTGGGGTAGAATTAGGGATCTGCTTCCTAGGTTTGTTTGTACTATTTTGTTCTTGATTAGTCCCCTTGCTATAACTAATAACCAAAATAAGTTTTACTGAAATTAGCTAATAATGGTTGTTTTTCAATTAAGTTTGCCTTTGCTTTAATTTCTAATTTGAATAAAGATTCTTTAGGTTAGAATAAGATTTTTAAGTTGGTCTAGGCTTGGGAGGGTTCTCCTCGGATTTCACTTTTTTTATGAAAAATTGCCCATTATAGGCTTTTAACCAATGAGGAAAGGTTTTTTTGCCTATCCTTTATGCCCTAGATGCATGGAGGCCCTCGAAACTGTAATTCATGTCCTTAAGGATTATTGGGCAACCAATATTATTTGGAGTCAGATTCTTTCCCCTGACAAATGGGTGCAGTTCTTCAGTCTTGGCTTATCCAGCTGGCTGAAATTCAATATCTCCAAATAGAACTTTCCTTTGTACCCCAATTGGAACATTGTCTTTGGGTTTACAGGCCTAATCAGAAGCATTTTGTTATTGTTCGGGGAACTAATTGCATGGTGAAGTGGATGCCTCCCTTGATTGGTCACTTGAAGCTTAATACTGATGGTCTAGGGTTTCACTCTATGGGCATTGCTAGTTGTGGTGGCTTAATCTGCAATTCTACTGGTACTTTCATAGTTGGATTTTGCAAAAATCTTGCTCCTTGCCACTCTATTGTTGCTGAACTGTGGAGCATTTTTAAGAGCCTTCAACTAGTTATTGAGAGAAATATTCAAGTTATTTGGGTTGAATGTGATTCTAAAATAATCATTTCTTTTCTTATTAGCATCCAAAGTAGAAATCACCTTTTTTACTTTTTAATTAGCAAAATTAGAGAGTTGATCACAAGCATTAAGTTTTTTTATAATATAAAATCATCAAAATCATAATATCAATTTGTTTATATTTTTTATTTCTTTAATTAAACTATTTAAAACCGAGAATAAAACTTAAATATTTTATTATCCTAATTTTTAAAATGATAAATTATTTAAAATAAAATATAATTTGAAAAGTTATAATTATATATATATATATATATTAATTTAAAATTACAATTAAGTTATTAAATGTATCCTTTTATCTCAACAATCAATTTTACTAAATATTTTTAATTTAATTAGCTAACTTTTTTTTTATCTTTTAGTTTTTACAATTTTGCGTAACTTATTTGCCATTGTTTCAAACAATCCGTTGGTATAAATATAAATTTTGTCCTCAAAATGGTTTGCATGTATATAATTTATTGCCGAAGTCTGTTAACTTCATGACAAATTTAGTACACAAATTTGGTCAATTTTATAATAATAGGTGAAAAATGAGAGATAAAAGAACAAATTTGAAAATTATCTTATGTTTTCAAGACTAATTGATAATACAAAATATTAAGTTAAACTAACTGATGTGGTTATATATAAAATTTTGGTGACATACTAATATTTTGAGGCTACTATAATTTTAATTTGAATTATTTTATATATAAATTTAATAAATTTTTATATATTTGTATTCGGAGTTATATTTATTTTAGATTTGGATATCTGTATTACTTGTACATTTTAATAACGTTTCATATTTAGAAATAAAAAGCAGATGAGTTTTTGGCTAATAGAAATAGAAACCAACTAGCATTTGATCTAAATATTCGTATTTTTGCAACTTTATGCACTTTTTATTTATATTAAATATTTTTGTGTTTAATGTCAACAGATTTTAGACCATTAATTGATAAGTTGGGTGAATGGTCCTAACTTATTTATTATTCTTGTTGAGGTAGGTCCGGTTTAATAACTATGACATAAATGTTTTTCTAAAAAAAAAGTGGCATCTTATATAATTTAAATTATAAAGTTGTAATAGATACTGTGTGATCCGCAGAAATAAAGAAAGAAAAAAAAGTACCATACAGCTGTACTGTGAATGTGATTGGTAAAAGTGGCCAACTTTACACTGTTCAACCGTTGGTTTCATTTTGTCCACTTGTGTGGCTTTTATCAGTCCCCGTAACCCTGTTTTTACACATTGCACTTCAACTTTCCTCTCAATCGAAGTCAAGTACTCTTCTTAATCGTTTCACTGATGGCTGAGTCGGTTCCATTTGCTGTTACTTCAAATCTGATTCACAGGTTGGATTCTGCAGATTTTCTTGAATTTGGACACATGTATGATGTGATGGAAGAGTTGGAAGCGCTTAAGAACACAATTGAATCTATCAATGACGTGCTCCTTGATGCTGACGATAAACAAGAACAAGCTCGTGTCAGAGTTTGGATCAAAAGGTTCAAAGACGTGCTTCATGGTGCAGATGACTTCTTTGATGACCTTGATGTTGAATTTATGAGACACAAATTGGATGCAGGTCAAGGAAAAGAAGTGAACAAGGTACTTCATTCCTTTTCATCTTCAAATCAAATTGATTTTCCCATTCAAATGGCTGAAAAAATTAAAGAAACACAAGAGAGTTTTAATGCTGTAGTAGAAGACATGCATAAATTGAATTTAAGTCCAAGAACTATGGTGGTTAAGCAAATTAATAGTGGATGGAGGGAAACTGGTTCTTTTGTGTTAGAATCTGATATCGTTGGAAGAAATGATAGTAAAAAGGAGATTGTAAGTCTCTTGAGACAATCAGATGAAAACCAAAAAGTTTCAGTGATTGTTATTGTTGGCATTGGTGGTTTGGGGAAAACAGCTCTTGCTCAGTTGGTGTATAATGACTTGGAAGTGCAGAGTTTTTTTGAAAAGCGAATGTGGGTGTGTGTCTCTGATAACTTTAATTTAAAAACTGTTGTGAGGAAAATATTAGAATCATTTACTGGTGGCCAAATTGAAGACAAGTTATCATTAGACAACTTGCAAAATAAGCTTCGTCAAAATTTAAGTGGTAAAAAATATTTGTTGGTCCTGGATGACAATTGGAGTGAAAGTAAAGAAGAATGGGCTGAATTGAAAACTCTTTTGATGTGTGGTGCTCAAGATAGTAAGATTTTAGTGACAACTCGCAGTGAAATTGTAGCAAAGACAATGATTGCTAGCACTTCCTATCCTCTGAATGTTTTGACTGAAGAAGAATCTTGGAGTTTGTTAAAGAAAATTGCATTTCAGGATGATACCAAAGGAGTGAATCAAAATCTAGAATCAATGGGTAAAGAAATAGCCAAAAAATGTAAAGGGGTTCCACTATCAATTAAAACACTAGGAGGCCTATTACGAGGCCAAAAAGAAGAAAGTGAATGGGAAGATGTTTTATGTGGTGATTTCTGAAAATTATATGAAGAGCAACGTAGTATCATGCCAATTCTGAAACTCAGTTACCAAAACTTGTCGCCTGAAATGAGACAATGTTTTGCTTATTGCTCTTTATATCCCAAGGATTCAAAAATTTACAAGAATGAGTTGATTCAGTTATGGATGGCACAAGGTTACCTTAAATGTTCAACTAAAAAGCAGCACATGGAAGATGTCGGTAACAAATTTGTGAAGATATTTTTGATGAACTCATTTTTTCAGGAAGCAGAGAAAGGTATATATGGTGAGATCATTAGTTTCAAAATGCATGATTTAATGCATGATCTTGCCATGTTTGTTGCTGGCAATGATTATTGTTACTTGGATAGTAAGGCAGAAAGAGTTGAAGGTAGACCCATGCATGTATCATTGGAATCTAAGGCCATTCATTTATTGAATTCATTAGATGCAAGCAGGCTGCGAACTTTGATGTTATGGTCTTATACTGAGGAGAACTTGTCTGTTGTTTCAAATTTGAAATACTTGCGCATCTTGAAGATGTCACCTTCTTCATTATGCAAGTTGTCTAGTTCTGTTGGACGATTGAAACATTTAAGATATCTTGATATGTCCTGCAAGATTTACCCCTACAAAGAACGACAAATAAGTCTTCCCAAATCCATAAGCAATCTTATTTTCTTACAAACATTAAAATTGTACGAGTGGGACAAAGAATTTTTTCATGATTCTATCACAAAATTAGTCAATTTGAGATGCCTTGATGTTGGTTATCTTCCCACCGTCACTGGTAGAATGACACTTGAACATGAAGATGGGATGGTTGGGTTGGGAAAATTGTCCTCATTGCAATTCTTATCAACCTTTGTCGTTGGAAATAGCCAAGAAAGAAAACATGGCACACTAAATGAATTGAAGGACTTAAACCTAAGAGGCCACTTAGAAATTAAACATCTCAATTGGGTAAGAGAGGTGGCCTTGGAATCACAGGATGTAAATTTAAAAGAAAAAAGCCGCCTTCAATCCTTGCATCTAAATTGGTCCGATGAAAAGGAAAGTGGCATTCATAACAGTGACAGCTTACAGTTATTAGAAAGCCTTCAGCCCCATCGTAATCTAAAACAATTGAAGGTGTATGGGTATCCAGGCGTGGTTTTTTCAGATTGGCTTTCATTCCTCACAAACATTGTTGATATCTCTCTCTTCTACTTTCATAATTGCCGCTATCTCCCACCGTTGGAACGTCTCCCATATCTGAAGTCACTTGAGATACGGTCTCTTTATGAATTGGAATGCATATATCTTGAAGATGGTTCTGCAGTAACCTTCCCGTCTCTGGAGATCCTCAAATTAAGGTTTTGTCCCAAACTTAGGGGATGGTGGAGGCGAGGAGATGATATCAATTATTCTAAGGATTCACATAATCTCTCCATAGCTCCTTCCTTTCCTCGTCTTTCTGAATTACAAATCTCTTACTGTCCAAAGTTGACTTGCTTGCCTACTTTTCCAAACATTAAGGATTTGTATTTGCGTGATTGTGGTGTGGAGCCTTATAGCAATCCTCCACACAGCGTCTACGAAAAGATAATGTGAACACCCAATGGCTTTGCCAGATTAGATTTGCAACCTCTCCTCGCATACCTCCATCTGAAGTACCTCAATTTTGGCATCCAAAAGTTATCCTTTGGGGTAATTGATTATCAAGGTACTGAATACTGATCCATTTCTGTCAACTACAAATATTCTTGGTTTCTATTATGTTTTTTTTTTAAAAAAAGGGTTCAAATATTTACAATTTCAAAAATAGTTTATGTTTTCTTGTAAATGTTATGGAATTCAATTAATTATTACGTCTATTTGGTTTACTCATTAGGTACTGTAAACTAGTTTTGAATTTAGTGTGCATTTTAAAGTTGGATCAAAATTATCTTATTAAAATTAATTTTAAATTATTAAATATTATTGGAGTCTGTTTCCAAATTAATTCTAACCATATATTTATATCTTAGTAAGTTTTCTATGCATTGTACTGATATTATTAAAATATAAATTTTTAGATAAAAATTAAAAATAGATTTTATATATCTTAAAAAATAAATATTTAATTATTAATAATAATTAAGTTATTAATTAACTAAGACTATATTAAAGAGAGAATTTTTAAATCAAAAGATAAATTATAAAAATTTTAAATAAAAAAATTAAATACTCAAATGAATACCAAAAAATACTTTCCTTTAAGATGACTTTTGAAATCTCTGTCTTTAAAGAATAGGACTCAAATTATATATAGTTGAAAATTGAAATGTGTAAATGAGTAGGGAATGCATTATCAATGTAAACCAAATATGTACTGTGCTTATGATGGGTTCCTTCTACTTCATAAATGTAAAATAGAAATAGAAGTTTTGTGTAGTTTCAATTCTTATTGTTTACTTTTTTAAACTTATTTAGACATTCTCATTCTCAATTTTGAATAGAAAGTAATTTTTCAAATTATAATTTTAGCGTGAGAAGACCCATGGTTTTAATATTCACAGGTGTAAATGGAGAAAACAAAAAGAAAAACAAATACTGGATAATGGATTTGAAGACAGTAAAAAATTGTTGGATTTTCATAATGTTTGGCACCACCCGCTCAGGTAAAATTTTAAGACCTGAATAGTTATCCAATTTTTATTGTTTAACGTCACACACATTGGCAGACTTTGTTCTTGACATGTTGCTAATTTAATAAGTAGCATAATCACCATGTATATCTTTTTCTATTTTGGTTTCATAATTTTCACTTGTCAACATTTACGGTGGTATTTCAAACAAAAATATAATTTCAACCTTAGTTTTGTATCTTTCATGTTCTAACAAGTTATCTGATATTACATCTCAGGGCTTAATGGCTCGTGTTGAAGGAATATCTGCTTTCGAATTGGACAGGCTTGCTGAATAGAAGAAATGCAAGCCCATTTTACATGGCCATTCCCCTGGTTGAGAAGCAAGCTTGATTCTTGGCCCGCCGTTCAATATTTGGCCTTAAAATGTACTTGGAGAATCTGCTTATGCTAAGTTCCCTATATTCTACTAAGGTAGCTCTCACAATTTTGGGAGTTTGTTGCTTAATCTCCATCAAAGGAACCCGTGAAGGTCTCAATCAATGTATAACTTCTCAACCTCCCATTGGGAATGCCGCTTTGAAGGAGTAGGTTCTCCTTGTATTTCTACTACCCTTATCTCACATAAAAACTCGAATATTTTTTATTTATTTTTCTTGTTTATTATTTTTCTTTTCAGCTACAATAATAGAAAATGTTGCTTTTATTTCAAGAGTTAATTCATTTTTCAAGATTTGGTTCCCCGTATCTTCAGCTTGTTTTCAACATTATAATTCTTCGCCTTAGCTGTTGACTTGTTGAAAGAAACGTGAGCAAGGTGTAGTTAAGAGAACATTGGAGTGCGATTGGTTAGGGGAGCAGGTCTTGTGCAGAGATTCTTCTTATGACACTGCTGGCTAGTTCCTTTGGAAAAATTATAAAGTCAATTTAGCAAACACACAGATAGATGAATAGTTCAGTTGGAACCATGTTCCAAAGGATTATCGTGTGAATACTTTGATTGAGGTGGAAGAATTTGATTCACAGTTGCTAAAACTGTTGATGGTGTTCTGACATCGTATCAATTAAGCCTTTCCCTGTGCATTGACACAAATGGGAAAACAAATGCAAGATAGGAGATGTAAGAAAATGAAGCAAAGTGCCTTGTTTACCTTCATTATGTGCCACTTGGACTTGGACAAGTAAATATTGTAGATTGATGATTTGTTTTAGTTTTCTTTTACTGTGGATACTTGGAGTCCATGTACAGCGACTTTCTTAAGTTGAATTCTAAGCTATTAATTAATTTGTAGAAGTAGTAAATTACAAATGAAGTTATGATCAAAGTATCAAACTATACCATAGTTTAAAACAAAATCATATATATGATTGCTTTTTGTTAAAACAAGGCAATATTTTAAAATACCTAAAACTAAATTTTGGCCAATTGTTCAACAAACTATCAAATTTACTTTGGTTTTCATTCTTTGCTGTGACTATCATTATGCTTTACACTGATAATAGATGATGTTCCACCTTATGTTCCTATTTTTTAATAAAAAGAATGCTTCTAGTAAAGAAAAGCTAAGATCATTACTAGCTTAACACTAGTACTTTGATAAGAAAGTCATTAAAAGTGGTGAACATTAAAATTTATAAAAAGATTAACATCATATGCCTTCAAGAAACAAAATAGTTGAAAATAAGGCTAAGGGACTCGCTACTACAAGTTTCAAGCTTTATTACACAAGAAAAATTAAGAAAAAAATTGAGTAGACATAATTGTGAATAATATTTAAAAAAAGAATGTAATAGAGATTAAAAGAATTGAAGATAGGATAATATCCTTTAAGTTATTGGTTGCACTTGCACAAGGTACTATTATTTATGCAGATACTATTAATATCATTCATGTTTATGCTCTTCAAGTTGGCTTCTAAATCTATTTGAAAGTTAAGTTTTGGGAGGATTTAGAGGGATTGATCCAAGACATTCTACAAATTGAAAAGATTTTTATAGATGAAGATTTTAATGGACATGTTGATTTAAAAATATGATAATTTGTAAGCGCTTATGGTGGTTTTAATTTTTAGAGTTAAATAATAAAAGACAACCTATCCTTGATTTTTTAATATACTGTAACTTTAAGAAAATGAACACTTGTTTTAAGAAAAACGTGAAATATCTTACGAGTGAAATTTTAAGATCGTAAACTATTTTTTTTTTTTTACGAAGAATCTAGACAAAGAAATTGTAAGGATTGTAAAGAAATTCTAGAAGAGGGTCTTACTACACAGCATAGAGTCTTGGTTTTTTATGTTCGTTTTCTCTTGCATATTTTCATTCCACCACCATAATTTTTTGTTTTTTGATTCCAAACTTTTAGATTCACCTTAAATTTTTTTGGCAATTTTCCTATAGTTATTTTGTCTTAAATAATGTTAGCACTACCTTGTGCCCATCTTGTTTGCCTACTCATACCTTATCCAATTTTTAACATTATTACATGTATGCAGAATTTGTACATAATTTTTATTAACTTAAAAAACACATATAATCAAGTACTAAGAAATCTTATGGAAGAATGGGTCTCTGAAGGATATAAATTGATTTCTTTTTATCTCTTTTCTTACCTTTATTTCCACGCCATCCAAACAAACTGCAAAAGTGGGTTAATCCACGTAAAACACCTCTAATTTTTACCTTTAACTCATATCTTCTTTACAGGATGTAAGGTTAAAGTTAATCCATAAGCTGTAGTGACTCTAAAAAATGAGAGTACTGAGGTAGATTGAATGGAATGTGGGCTTTAACTTATATTAGGAGATACCTGCAATATCTTCACAACAACAACAATTACAGGAATAAAGGTTTTTTATAGAAGGCAATGATTAGCCTAAGAATAACATCAATTTTATTCTGTTTATAAATTAAAGTCGCTTGATGAAGGAATTCATTATTCCTGTCTCCCAAGGTATGCCAATCTTTTTCTCAGGTCATACCAATATATTTCTTCTTGGGGGAGGATAGTATCATATTCCCCCAAAGTTTCTATCTAATAGAACTTACTCCTTTTATCATTCGGTTCTCATTTTTACTTAATTAAAATTAAAAATTTAGTATACCTAATTTAGTCAATTTTAAATACAAGCAATATTTAATATATATGTGAGCACGTTTAAGCATAAGTGTGTATATCTTTTCACATATGTATGCATGAGATTTAATCACCCAATATAAAAAATTAATTCTAATTATAAAACTTAATATCGAAGTAAATTAAATGATAGCATTTTTGACACACACAAATATATTTATAATAGATGATAAACAAGCTTTATAAAATATATTAAATATTTAAAATTGGTCTAAAATAAAAATTTGTAACTATGATAAATAATATATATACATATATATTTTTTAATTCAAAGGACTAAAGTAAAACACTTAAGAAATTATATAATAATAGAAATAATTAAAATTCTCTTTCAACTAAAGAATTAAAAGCAATCCAATAGTAAACAATGACATTAAACTAAATATTTAATAATTTATAAAGAAAATATATAATTTATTTTGTTGGAAGGTACCAGATAATCCTCGTGATTCGTAATTGTTATTCTCTCAACAAAAACTTTGCTTGTAGAAAGACAAAAGGAAGAGGATCGATGGTGCGTTCATTTAACACGCATTAGAAAGAAGTGTTTTGGCTTTCGTTTCATTTCATTTCATATTTGGTGGGTTACAAGCACTCTCAGAAATTGTCTCACTTCTCTTTGCCATTGTATTGGGTTCAGATTTCTGGTCAGTATATTCATAACTTTCTTTCTAACTTATGCTCATCACATCTTTAATGTGTGTATTGCATCATTTACTTTTGCTTATGTTAACTAATGCATTTAAGATCTACAAGAAGACATTACTTGTACCTTTTCTTTTTGCTATCTTTGTTCGAATACATTAATCATTGAAAAAAAAAAGGAACAACTTACACCTTTCATTCTTCTTTATTTTCCTTTCGTTATTAATTGCTCTTCCTCTTGCTATATTTGTTGATTGACTTAAGAATCCCATCAACAAATATACAATCAACAAATATATTAAAAAAAAAATTATTATTTAATATATATACTTTTACAAAATATCATGTATACGTCAAAACGTGAATGATCGAGATTACATAATTTCAGATTACTTAAAAATTCTTCGTGTTTAAGAAGAATAACATTCACACAATCAATTTCTCTTTTATTTACTTTTTTAATTTATTAGTAAGCTGAGTTAGAATTTAAGTTTAAGCAAAAATTGAAATGACAAAGTAGAAAGGTTTTACTTTTTATTATTTTTACTATACCTTACTATAAAATTTCTATTTTTATTTTCTTAAACAAATATCTTTAGAAAATATTTTTTTTCATTAAGAACTACATGACCTTACTTTTTTTCACCGAAGTTATGTAAGAGTGGTGATTAAAATTTTTTGAACTCCTATTTTTATTTTTTTTTCTTTAATTTTAGAATGTTAAAAATATTTTTTTTATTATTTTAAATAAATAATTTATTTTTCATAATAAACAAAAATAGTTTTTTTATGAAGAAATAATTATTTATTTTTGTATAATTAATTAGGATAACCTTTTCTTATGTGAGATTTTTATAATTAATTTTGTATAATAAAAAATTCTTTTTCATAATAAACAAAATAGAACTTTTTTTTTTGTAATTTGATACCTTATTATTGTATTTGACTTTAGATGAATGATTATATTTATAATAAGTATTATTTATTTAATAATGGTATTTATGTTTTAATTATTTGTTTGTAGAAAAAACATCATAAAAATTTGTATTTTTTTATTAAATTATAACTGATGAAAATGAATATAAGAATTTAAATATTTAAAAAAATTGAGAACGTGATTAAATTTATTAGTCATACAAATATAAAAAAATACAAATAATATTTTAAAATACAAATAGGAGTAAAAATAGTATAATATCCTATTCAATTTCTATCCCCGTAATCCTTAGTTATGTTGTTTGTTGTTCTAATGGAACAGTTACTCTGTCTTCGTCAGTCATGCAAATCAAATAACTATTTGCAGATATTATAAGTTAAAATCATTAAAGAAGCGCATGGAATTAGAACCCTATCATTGTGATTCATCTCATTGTCTCTATACTATGAATTACCTTAAAAGATGAGAATCTTTCTTCTCGACTGCCGTTTTAGCTTAAGAAAATGTAAAAACTGTCCTTTTCTCTATCAGTGTGAAATGGGAGAGAAAGGAGTTTATTCTTATTGACAATATAATACTTTTTTCTGTTAATTTCAGAAGTGGGTAACATTATCAGCCATGTCATAGACATAACAATGATAAAATAAAAATTTTAAAATTTCTTATAATACATTATTACCCTTTTTATTAGAAAAAGAAAATAAATAATTTTTTTATCTTACATTAAAATAATTTATTTTCAATTGAATTCCTTTTTTATAAAATTTTAAGAAGAGATTATAAAAGGATATAGGGAATAGGTTTTGGTAAAAAACGTTTGTTTAAATTTATTTTACGCGAAGGTTTATGCAATAAATTTGATCATAAAATATATTAGAATAAACTTTAATAAGATGTACCAAAAAACTTATTAATAAAAGTTAAAAAAAGCTTGTAAAAGTCATAATCTATTTGCATAAATTATCCATAAACTCTTCCTCCCATCTTATTACTCATAAAAATATGATGTTATTAGCCTAATATTGCTCAAATACATGTCAAAAACTAGTTTTTTCATGTTATTTTACATATCTGTCCCTTCCCTTGGTGCATGTATATTCCTAAGCTTTTCCTTTATCCATTGCCTGATTCAAACTTAGTAACTTCTCAATTTTCCTATTGATCAATCTGCTTCTATACTCTTTCTCAATCATTTGAAGGATGGCAGAGCAAGTTCCATATGGTGTTGCTGCAAACTTCATTCACAAGTTGGCTTCTGCATCATTACACGAATTTGGACAGATTTATGGTGTCACAAATGAGTTAGAAGATCTTAAGAATACAATTGAATCCATCCATGCCGTGCTCCTTGATGCGGACGAGAAACAAGAACAAGATTATGCTGTACAAATCTGGATAAGAAGGCTCAAAGAAGTACTTCTTCATGCAGATGACTTGATAGATGACCTTATTGTTGAAAATATGAGACAGAAAGTGGAGGCATTTCATTCCTTTTCATCTTCTAACCGAATTTCTCTTCCAATTCAAATGGCTGATGAAATTAAGAGAACACAAGAAACTTTAAATGATGTATTACAAGAAATATCCAAGTTGAATTTAAGCCAAAGAGCTGTAGTATCCAAGCAATTTGATAGTGTAAGGAGAGAAACTAGTTCTTTTGTGTTAGAATCAGATATCATCGGCAGAGAAGATGGCAAAAAAAAGATTATAAGTCTATTAAAGCAACCAAATAAAAAACAGAATGTTTCTTGTATTGCTATTGTTGGCATTGGTGGTTTAGGCAAAACAGCTCTTGCTCAATTGGTATATAATGATGTGGAAGTGCAGAAGATTTTTGAAAAGCACATGTGGGTGTGCGTCTCTGATAACTTTGATATTAAGACTATTGTGAAGAAAATGTTAGAATCATTAACTGGTGTCCAAAGTGATGAAAAGTTATCATTAGATAACTTGCAAAGTAAGCTTCGCAAAAAATTGAGGGGTAAAAAATATTTGATAGTCTTGGATGACATTTGGAATGAGAATCATACAAAATGGGCTGATTTGAGAACTTACTTGATGTGTGGTACTCAAGATAGCAAAATTTTAGTGACAACTCGCAGTGAAGTTGTGGCCAGGAAAATGGGTGTAAGCGATCCCTATGTTTTGAATGGTTTAACAACAGAAGAATCTTGGTGCTTGTTAAAGAACATTGCATTTGAGGATGATACCATGGGAGTAAATCAAACTCTAGAGTTAATTGGCAAAAAGATTGCAGAAAAATGTGGAGGAGTTCCACTAGCTATTAAAACACTAGGAGGTCTATTACAAGGTAAAAGGGAAGAAGGTGAATGGATCAATGTTTTACACGGTGATTTTTGGAAATTATGCAAAGATGAAGATAGTATTATGCCAGTTCTAAAACTGAGTTACCAAAACCTGTCACCTCAACTGAGGCAATGCTTCTCTTATTGCTCTTTATATCCCAAAGATTGGGAAATTGAAAAGGATGAGTTGATTCAACTATGGATGGCACATGGTTTTCTTGAATGTTCAACTGAGAATGAGCATATGGAAGATATTGGTAACCAATTTGTAGAACTTTTCTTGATGAAGTCGTTTTTCCAAGATGCAAAAGTTAATAAGCAAGGTGAAATACTTAGTTTCAAAATGCATGATTTAATACATGATCTAGCAATGCTGGTAGCTGGCAATGATTGTTGTCACTTGGATAATAAGGGAAAAGGACTTGTAAGAAGACCCATGCACGTATCATTGGAACCTAATGCCATTTGTTTGTTAGACTCTTTGGATGCAAGTCGTTTGCGAACTTTAATTCTGCGGTCTTACAATGGGGAGGATTTGTCTGTTATTTCAAAATTCGAATACTTACGTGTCTTAACTTTGTCATCAAATTCAATCACTGAATTGCCTGATTCAATTGGAAATTTCGATCATTTGAGATATCTTAACTTGTCAAACTGCCGCTTGACAAGTCTTCCAAAATTCATTGGTAATCTCGTTTGCTTACAAACATTAATATTGAATTCTTGTGCAAAACTTGAATTTTATACAGCAGTTGTCACAAAATTAATTAATTTGAGACATCTTGACATTAGTAAATGTAGAGCCTTTGAACATGGGATGCCATTTGGATTAGGGAAATTGTCATCATTACAATCCTTATCAACCTTTGTGGTGGGGGATGGGTGGCGAAGAAAAACAGGAACTCTAAATGAATTGAAGGATTTGCAAAGTCTAAGAGTCAATTTAGTAATTAAGAACCTCAGTTTGGTAAGAAATGTGGAATTTGATTCACAGGAGATAAATTTGAAAGAAAAGAATCTCCTTAAAGCCTTGGAGCTACTATGGCAAGATTCGAAGTTTGGAAGAAGTAGTGGCAACAGTAGTGTCAGCTTACAATTATTAGAAAATCTTCGTCCTCACCCAAATCTTAAAGAGTTAACTATTGGAGGTTATCCAGGTTTGGCCTTTCCAAATTGGCTTTCTTCACTCCAAAATATTGTTGAAATCTCTCTTCGGGAGTGCAGTAATTGCCGTCATCTCTCACCATTGGAACATCTCTTGTGCCTTAAGTCACTAGAGATACGTTTCTTAGGAGAGTTGGAGTACATATATTTTACCGAAGATTTTTCAAAAACATTCTTCCCATCTTTGGAGTGCCTTCATCTTATAGATTGTCCAAAGTTCAAGGGATGGTGCAAGAAAGTAGATGATGCCAATGACACTAAGCAATCATTACATTATCATTCATTGCCTCCATTTCCTTGTCTTTCTCAATTAGAAATCAGAGCATGTCCACAGTTGATTTGGATGCCTACCTTCCCAAAGCTTGTTAAAGAATTGTTATTAGAAAGTTGTAGTTTGGAGCCATTGAAGGAAACACTAAATATGGCATCATCACTATGTTTGGTTGACTCTTTCACTCCTCTTTCCATGCTCAAATGCTTGCATATTTATGGAGATCTCAACATGACATCCATCCCAAATAATTGGATGCAGAATCTTACTTCTCTGGAGCAACTCATATTTGGATGGTCTCAAAGTAAAACATTTCAAGAATTTGAAATTTGGTTTAAGGATGACCTCAACTACCTTCCTTATCTACAAAAAATCAGTGTACAGTTTTGTAAAAACTTAGAAGCTTTGCCAGATTGGATGTGCAACCTCTCTTCACTTAAGCATATCACGATTTGGAGTTGCCCAAAATTGGTATCACTACCCGAAGGAATGCCTCGTCTTTCCAACTTACAAACCGTAGAAATCATTGGATGTCCCTTCTTACATCAAAATTTTAAAGGAGGAAGAAGTGCAACTTGGCCCAACATTGCTTGCATCCCAAAAATAATCTTGAAGTGATAAGGTACTTATACTTCCTTTCTTAACAACAAAACTTTTTTGGTTTCTATTTGAATTTCTACATTTTCTAAAGATCTACCTTCGAATATTTTCAACATCAGAAACACCTTTTTAGTTTTGTTTCTTTTGTGTTTGTTTGCTTTACTGATGAAAATATTTCAATAGCAAAAGGAATTTATAGCTGCAATTTCTTTTCTTTACTTCTCTTAATTTGTTCAAGCTTTCTCATTCTCAATTCTTAAATAGATGGCAAAATTTAAAATTGTCATTTTAGAATGAGAAGACTTGTTTGAATATTGACAGGTTAAAATGGAAGGAAAGAAAAAAATACAACACCTGGTTTAGCCATTAAAAGTGGAAAGAATTGGTATCTTTGGAGCTTCTTTCGATTGCAGCTATCCATTCTGAAAACACTGAGGTGATGAAGAATATCTGAAAATTGTTGGATTTTCATAACATAGGTTACTTTTTTTGGTATTTTTTATGGTTAGTCTTTGCTTAAACTGCTAATAAATAGTTGTGGTAAATATTGAGATGGAATCAAATATAAAAATAAATTGATAAAATCGATCAAACTAGTTTTCAACTGGTATAGATTAAATCATGATGAAAGTATTTTTGTTTTAGGACTATACTAGTGTTACATTTATTAGATAGATCTTAGCTTCTTTCCACCCTTTCTATTTCTCTCGCCAACAATATTTGCAAACCCCTTTTCTTGCACCGTTCTCTTCTCGTAGTGTTCAAAATTATTTTTTCCAGGTTTGAGTTTTATGGGCATATTGATTTAATTTATTATTTTGTCATGCTTGTTTTTAGGGAAAAAGCAGTATATAAGGGTTTTTCAAATGATCCTATTTTTCTTCTTTAATGCTTTACAACTTGAAGAATATGATTTTTCCTTTCTTTTCTATTTTCCTGAAGGATTAGTTGTTTCAGGGAGCAATCTTTCCTAAAGCAGTGGGATCGGAACAATTGAAGAGTAAATCTACATATGCTGATTACAGGGTAAATATACTTCTTTTCCATTATACATGTCCATTTTTATTTGTTTCATCTTTGACGGGTATCACAAGCATAATTGTGAAACTAATCTGCAGGCCACCTTCCACTACAACCAACACTGGTTCCATCATGCATGAGTTCCATTTTTTTCAACTTTGTTTGCAGTGGTCCAACACATTATATTGATATTTCAATCAAGTACATAATTTCAACCTTGGTTCTTGATATTTTGTGATGATCATTAAAAGTAAATTGTCTTTAAATTCTTATAATTCCTTGACATTACTTCTCAGGGTTTCATGATTTTTGCTAAACAAATAACTCTTTACAATGGTACAGGCTTGTAAAGGAAGCATGGCCTGTTGGCCATTTACTTGGTGGAATAGTGAGTTTGAATCATGGACCTCTCTGTATTTCAAAACATTGTTTGATATGAATTTGAACAATTTGCATATATTATGTTCCTCAATCATCATATTGGCTACTCTTGTCATTTTGAGAGTAATCGCTTCTTCAGCTTCATCAAAGGAAAAGGGGGTCTTAATCAAATGTACAACATTTCTCAACCTCTTGTGGGAAATGCTGCTGTGAAGGAGTAGGTTGTCTATCCTTTTTACAACCATGTAAATTTAAATATTTCTTAGTCCTTTTAATTTTATTACGTTTCTTTCCAACCATGTTAGTAGAAAATGTTGGCATGCATCACCATTTCAAGAATTACTGAACCAGTGCATCCTAGATGATTTGGCTCCCCGTAATGTATTTATGATTCTCAGGCTCAGCTGTTGACCTTATTGTTGCAAAAAGCATGAACAAGGATAGTCGGAAAGTCAAAACTCGAGAATAATGGAGAGAAATTGGTTCCCAGAGTGTCCTGAGCTTCTTTTGGAGACCCTCCAGACTAGTTCAGTGCCTGATTCTCTTGCTAACATTTTGACTGGGAAGGAAGTGGTTGAATCACAAACACATAAAATACTAGAGGGCTTGGATGGCATATTTTATGCCTTTTCATATCCATCTTCATATATGTGCCATTTGAACCGGTAAATATCATGGACTAACAATTTGTTACCGTTTTCTTTTATGATTGCCAAAGTTAGGCCTCCTGGAATAAAATTTTAACATAGGTGGTTTGCTTGCTGCTGCAAGGACCGAGGATCTTTTCATATCCTAAGAGTCTCCAACTATTCGAAAAACCACTTGAATCGTTCCTCTAGGATGGCATAGTGAGCCTAGAAATAAAATGGAGAGCATATGAAAGATGATCAGTTATCAATTTTGGGCTGCATATCTGTACACTTTTTTTTCTCAAGTGAATGGCAACCGGTATTGTAATTACCCTATAATCTACAGAATATAAATATCAAGTACATTGTTTTCTTATCTTTTTTTTAATGATGATTTTAAGGACTAATTAAATTGTGTTATTAGATTTGTTGGGGTACAGGTATGTGCAGGAGAGGGAGAAATTAACAGTCAACGCAGGTCATAGTTGTTAAGTTATTTTGATAATGACTGTTACTTTAGGATTTTGTGTATTTTACTAATGCAGGTATGTGGATTTTGATAATGCAGGTCATTGAACTTAGATCAGTAAACGAAATTTCTAATAAATAGTCGTGGTAAATATTGAGATGGAATCAAATGTAAAAATAAATTGATAAAATCCATTAAAATAGTTTTCAACTAATATAAATTAAATCTTGATTAAAGTATTTTCGATTTAGGACTATATACTTGTCATATACTTTTTTTAACCAGGGTATAAATACTCTATTCATCATTAGTTTTATAATGTACAGAAGATATATGAGTTACATTTATTAGATAGTTATTAGCTTCTTTCCACCCTTTCTTTTTCTCTTTCCTAAAATATTTGCAAATGATTTTTCTTGTACCATTCAATTCTCGAAGTATTTCTAGGTTTGAGTTTTATGGGGCTGAGATTTTCAAATGATCCTATTTCTTCTTCAATGCTTTACAACTTCAAGAATATGATCCTTTCCTTTTTATTTTCCTGAAAGAGGTTTAGTTGTTTCAGGGAGCAATCTTTCGTAAGGATGTTTGAGAAATCAGATAGATGTGAAGCAGTGGAATCTGAACAATTGAAGAGTAAATCTACATATGCTGCTTATAGTTGTAAATATACTTCTCCATTATGCATGTCCATTTTTATGTCTTTTATCTTTGACATAGGTATAACGAGCATAATTGTGAAACTAATCTGCAGGCCAACGGTGGTGGTTAGTTACAAGTTCGAGCCCTCCTAGATGTGGTGATTGCAGGATTTGAATGAATCTGGATTCAATACAGTTGAATAACGACACAGTTGTTCTGTAGTTGTTGTTCAATCTTTCGTCCAATGACTCATTAAATTACATCTGATTTGTACAAAAGCAAAGTATGGATACTTTACATTCAACTATACCGATTGCACCCTTATTTTCTTGCACCGAATCTAAATTCAATTTGAACCTTTACATGATAAGGTTCTCTTGGGGTTACATCCCACTTCCACTACAACCAACACTGGCTTCCATCATACATGAGTTCCATTTTTAAAATTGTCTTCGGTGGTCAATACATTATATTGATATTTCAATCAAGAACATAATTTCAACCTTGGTTCTGGATATTTTGTGATAATCAATAAGAGTAATTTGTCTTTAAATTCTAATGATTTCCTTGATATTGCTAGAAGTAATTCTAACCAATAGATAGGATTAGTTGAATAAGTCAATTCAACATTTTATCATTCCTAACTATCAGTTTGTTTTAGTTGCTTCTGGTATGCTATAAATATCAACCTTTCGTAAAAGATGAAATATACAGAATATATTCTCTCTCACTTTTTTTCTCTCTGTTATTGCATTTTGTGTGTTTAAGTTTTTGCTCTTGCTCCAACAAAATTGGTATCCAGAGCCAAGGTTTCGATTGAGGGATCTTTGCGACACACACGATGGGATCAACTGGCGCGAATTTCTCAGCAAATCTTCCCATTCTCAATGGAAAGAACTGGGATCGGTGGCGTGTGCAGATGAAGGCGATTTTGGGCTATCAGGAAGTCACAGAAATTGTTGAAGAAGGTTATCCAACGCTCACTGAAGATTCCATAGAAGGACAGAAGGCGCTTCACAAAGAAAATAAGAAGAAAGATTGTAAAGTGATGTTCTTAATTCATCAATGTGTTGATGAGGTGCACTTTGAGAAGATTGCAGGCGTTGCAACTTCGCGAGAAGCGTGGTAGATCCTAGAGAAATGCAGTGAAGGTGCAGAGCAATTAAAGAAGGTGAGATTACAGACGATGAGGCGTCAATACGAATTAATGCAAATGGAGAATAATGAAAAAATAGCTGAATTCTTCAACAGAATCATCACTCACACGAATGCCATGAAGAATTGTGGTGAGAAAATCTCAGATCAAACAATTGTAGAAAAGATTCTGAGAACGCTCAGTCCCAAATTCGACCACATTGTTGTAGCCATTGAAAAATTCAAGAAGCTCGAGGAATTGAAGGTAGAAGAACTTCAAGGTTCTCTGGAGGCACATGAACAGAGATTCATTGAAAGAGGTTCAGAGAAGCCTGGTAAACATCAAGCACTGCAGGCTCAGACCTCAAGAAGAGGACGCTATAGGAAAATTCAGAGGTCGAGGTCGTGGGAGAGATTCCAGAGATGGCTTTGGAAAAAATGTTGAAAGCCAAGAAAGAGGAAAGATTGATCAAGATCAATAAGAAAGTTCTAATAAATGAGGGAACTTTAATAATTGGCGAGGAGGAAGAAAAAAAAATTGATAGGAAAAGGATCAAATGCTTCAATTGTAATCGAATTGGACACTTTTCTACAGAATGTACAACCCTAACAAGTCATGTAGATCATCGAGAAAGCTAGTCACACGAAGATTATTATGCACACATGGTTAAAGAAGAGAATGAAGCGAACTCCGAGGAACAACCTTTGATGCTAATGATGATCACCAATTCAGAATCTTATAA